GAGGGAAAGTATGTTAATCACTAAAATCAATGAATACCTGTAGCCACTACATGATGTATCAAAGGATAGCTCTGCATACATGATGTGATCTACAAATGACGTCATAATAGACTTACTGACGCCTGACTGTAGAAGAAAAAATTTAATTCGTATTAGTTTACTTCTCATTAGCTGTCGTGTGAACGCAATTTAATTCGCATTAATTTGATTCGCATTAGTTTACTTCGCATTAATTTACTGCGAATTAAACTCGTCGTGTGAACAGGGCATTGTTTTGCTTTTTCCTTTTCTTTTTCCCATTGGCCATGTTCACCACGATTTCCGTGTCGGACTCCAAATTGTCTCCCGTTTCTTCTTCTTCTGTTTGACTGCCATCAACAGGGGCATCAGCTGGGACAGAAGAGTCTATTTCTATATCCCGATTATCCTCCATTTTTTTCATTCTGGCCTGGTTTTATAATTTCATTCTCTTTATTGTTCTCTTCTCTTTTTCTGGTCTCTCCTCTGTGTCGTCATCAACATGAATCCCGTCATGTGCCCCTTCAGAGTCAATGTTTATTTGTTCACTGCTTTCATCCTCTTCATTGACCTCTGTCTCTGATCTTTGGCATTCGTCGTTATCGTCATCCTCTGAATCATTGTCACAATGACAATTGTGTTCCCATCCCCCACATTTATCACATAATGGCGTTTTGCAGACTCTTGCATAATGTCCTTGCTGTGTACACTTGAAGCAAACGAATTGAGGACATGACCTGAATAAATGGTCACACGAATAACACAGCGAACACACTTTAACCTGTCCATTGTGTATACACCTGTAATATTCCTTTCTAAACCTCACCGTATAAGAAAAAGAGGTCATGTGTGACGGCAATTTAACTCGTACATAACGTGTTCCGTCTGCTATTTGTGTACCTGGATAATATCTACGATTAATTTATGATAATATTTCAACGTTCAGTGATCTCAATATTTGTTCAATTTCTTCATCATCAATATATGCTGGAAGGTGCAAGAAACTGACCACAATTGAACTTTGTACAACCTCATGACATTCAAATATTTTGTCGCCCACTTTGACACCTTCAAGTAAATACTGTGTTGGTGCATTCCCATCTAACGTGATTTAGTAGAGATTCCCAGATTTGGGTACACAAGCATACAAAGTTCCAATTCCACAATTGTCATGTACAAATTTGATTATATTTGTAGGTTTAATCTGAGAATTATCCTTGACATTTACAATTAAGGAATGTTCTCTACTGTACTTTCTGGATACAGAAATATTGTTTGATCCGCCAAGATGGCCTTCACTTTTTTTACACGAAATGTTCAAAAACTAATGAAATTGCAAAATATATACATGTACACACAAAATACGAACATATATACAGTCCACCTTCTGTCAAAAGACAAATGGTAGGGGTTCACCACTTACAGATAACACTATAGGTAATTTTCCGCAAGCGAAATTTCCTCGTGCTCACTCTGCAAAAACTAAACCGGAAGTCAAAGCGAGAGACATACCACTACACCACGGAACCGCTTTAAACTAGCGAAAATTATATGCAAAGATGAAGTTACATACATTTATACATTCACGTTCGATGTTGTCAAAATTTTACACAATGCATGATATCTACTTTAACCTTTATTAAACAGTTCTCTGAAAATTTGAGCGAAATCCTTTGAGAAATTAGCGAGATATGAGGCCTCAAAGTTGGCGTCTAGGAAGAAGAAGAAAAAAAGAATAATAATCTTTACCAACAGAATCAGTAGAAGGTCTTCCGTTGGAAAAGGAAAACCTTAATTAACAATAGAGTTACATCTTCCATATCACGAACGCCTTAATCGTGGAAAAATTATTTTTTTTTATCAATAAAAGGAAATTAATCATTCACACAAATATATAAATTATTAAGTTTAATGAAATTATTGATTCATATGAATAGTGGGTTGTGTAAATTATATACATACTGTTAATTAATGTAAAATTCAGTCAATTAATGAATATTAACACAATATACATCAATTTATAATCGACATCAGAATTCATACAAATCAAGATGTGTTTAATTTTGCTACGAAATTTAAACATTGAAAAACACTATCCCCGTATATCAAAAGGGCTTAACTTTTTCAAGTACCCAAAACAGAACTTAAGGGATATTTATGCTGATAATTCTTTATACTAAATTTCATTTCAAGGTTAATGTAACTGCAAATAAGATTTTGTAAGGAATAATTCTGTAAAAAAAAATGGCGCAATCCCAAAACCTGACCTAGATATTCATCAAAATTGAATACTAAATTTTTTCTAGTAAGTGCAACCTCCAAAAGGGCATAACTTTGTCAAAAATGTGAAAAATGGTGCGATGGTATCCAAAACAAAACTTGACCTAGATATTCATCTGAGAAATCTGAATGCTAAATTTCATTTCAGTATGTTTATATCCTCTGCGATAAAAATGAACGGAAACTGCAAATAATTGGAATTTTTCTTAGTCCAAGGGGCATAACTCTGTGAAAAATGGCGCTATCGAACCCAAAACAAAATTTGACCTAGATATTAATCTGATATATCTTTATACCAAATTTCATTTCAATATGTGCAACGGTTGTAAAGAAAATGAACGGAAACTAAGTGGACCGACAGACCGACAGACCTACCGACAGACCGACCGACCGACAGACAGCAGCAAAGCAATATGCCCTCTCTTCTTCGAAGGAGGGCACAAAAAGTCAAAAATGTTGGTATCAAAAGGAAGGTCCTACATGCATCACAAGGGATAAACTATGAAATATCCTTAGTACTAACTTTTCAAAAGTGACAGCAAAGGATTTTTTAAAAATGGGTTAAACTCCAAGGTCAAGACGTGGAATTTGGTGGTACCCAAAGAAAGGTTTTGTCACAAGGAAAACACTTCTGAATAATGAAAAATTTAACATAAAAACAATCAAAAAAGTGCAAGTAATAAACATTTATTTAAGTGTTTAAGTTGTATGCAAATTTACAAATTACTTGTGTTATATTTTATAAACATAATTTTATCTACCGAAAAAATTACATCTGAATAACATTAAGCTGGACAAACATTTATATAACTAGAAAAGAAACTCGTTGCGAGCAACGAGAGGTCTTCCGTCCGATTCTGAAAAAAACCCTCACAAAATCGAGCTGAAAAAGAGATAAAACTTTTTATGGAAACAAAGGAGATTGAACCCGGATCGCCAGCATGGAAATACAAAGCGCTTACTGTTACGCTATTGGGACCACATCTCTAAATTTACTTGTATATTACTTCTGAAACAATTCATCTGTCTTAGAATAATGAAAGGCGGTCACTTTTCATAATTTTGCATTAAACGCCACGAGTAAATCTTCGCACCAAACTTGCTCAAGATGATCACATCGGAATTTGTTACTTGAGTTTTAACAGTAATTTTTAGGATAGATTATCTAAGTGATGAACAGATGATACTGTTTTCTTTCCTTTATTCGATATGTATTCAACGTTTTATTCCATGCAAAACCATATACATACATGCATGCCAATGCTATATATTTCTGCACTATTGTCGCCATTTGTCTACTACTGAAGCCATGATACATTATTTCGTGCCAAACGTCACAAGTAGTTCTTCACGCTATTCCTTTGAAATGTTTGATCTATCTAATGGATCTGATAGCTTCAATGAAAATTAGAAATGTATGCTCTTATAACCGGAATTTCGATCGTAAGAAAGTATATTTATCACATTATACAAATATAATATCGTCTACGGCCAAGTAACACTAAAGCTCTGAATTCGGTAAGATTTTCCACGAATTTTGTATCCTGTTTACACCCAAAGTGGAGATTGAGTTACACGTTCATGAAAAGACTGGAATGTTTCACTGAAAAAAAATCACTCGACCTCCGACGGTCAAGGAATCTGCTACTCTTCATGTTCAAAAACTTGCATTTATTACAAGAATATTTATATAACCTTTAATAAACAATCTTTTAAAAAATTGTTTTTCTTATTTTTGTCTTTTCTATTCATTTAATATGTCATGAGCCTGCGAGGTAAAATTAACAGAAGTCAAGTAATATTTCAGAAACATAGTGAATATTAAGTCAGGCAAGTTTCTTGAAAAGCTATTACTTATAACCATGGTTTAGGATAAGTGTTCCCTGGTGCAAAACAAAAGACTGTAGTCATCGTATTTCCACTTGTAGTCATGTTGTGTTCTCCTATGAAATGCAGACAAAAGCAATTTCAATAGAAGGTTGAGGAAATCTCATATCAAAACTATACTCAATGCAACGTAATTGCGATGTAGCAATCTAAAGAATCCTTTACATTTCTTAAATCTTTTTGGTAGAAGTTTCGTTCATGTAAACGCTCAGCTGACCTTCTAGAACCCGACTTGCTTAATGGCGGAGTTTACGGAGACCGCCGCCATCTTGGACACGCTTCAGATTTTTTGCGAATATCTATTGTGTGGATTGATCAATTCTTAAATAAATTATATATTTGGCCTTTCCAATAGGATCTTAATTACCATTAATTATATCAAAGAAAAATATTAAAAAGCAAAAAAAGTTGAAAAAGTGCACATTTTGAATTCACTTCCTGTAGCGACCGGAAGTACTGACGACGCAAACGAAGGCAAAATTGCACATCTATGACTCATGGTCTATCATCTCTAACAAGTCTCCAGTTAATATCTTGAGCCGTTTTCGAGAACATTCGAAGACAAAATTGCATTTTAAAATCAGGAAATTGCCCATAACTTGGCACTGGTAGCGAATTTTCCAATAAACGGAATTTTATATAAAATTCATATAATGACCTATAATTCCTGAAATTTTCATTGAAATCCACCGAATAGTTTACGAGAAATCGCCTGCACAAAATTTTGTCTAAAAAAAAAAGAATAATAATAATAATAATAATAATAATAAGAAACAATAGAATCACTATAAGGTCTTCCGTGAAGACGGAAGACCTTAATTATTTTTGGTATAAAGTGAGTATACAAGACTTTGCACTGAGGGTTTCCTAGCTTTAACACAGGAACCCGAAAAGCTCTTAACTTTACATTTCGATATTTTTCTGTTTTTCTTCTTAAAATATAAATCATCTGACTTCACGTAGTTCCTTAAAATAATTTGGAAAAGGCATCTAATGTTACAGTTCAGTTTAGCACTTGTTTCAGTAAAGCAGAGCATTTCCTCGGTTACTGATTTCTTCAGAACTTCTTCAGTAGTTACTTTTCTAGAATTCGTTTTGTCTATCTTGTTTCCCACAAGAATTATCCTGCTGAAGTCTTTTCCTGAAATGTTCAAAAAATAATTAAGTCAAAATTTGTACTGACTTTAACTGTTTCATTAGCATGAAATAAGAAAACAATTTTTTGTTTAATTCGATCAGATATATCAATATTTACCTTTAATGTCTTTGACTTTTTTAACAAGTGAGAGGGCCTGATGGAATGACTGGGGGTCATCTACTGCATACACCACGACAAAATCGTCTCCATTCCTAATATTAAGGTTTTGCATGGCGGGAAACTCATTGCTGCCTGAAGTATCGATGATTTGAACTTGTTGAAATAAGCCGTCTGCAGAAATTATAAAGACGATGAAAAAATATGATTTTTTTAAATATCAAATTGGGAACACAAAACTAAAAAAAATTTTTAAAATAATTTCATTTTCTATGAGAAAATTATTCGAAGCATTATCTATACTTACTAGGGAGGCAAACAGTTTCATTGTAACAGTTTTCAAGAGTTGGCTCGGTTGCTTCTTGAAAAGATCCGTACAGGAATTGTTTAATAATACTCGTTTTCCCTACCCGCTCTGCTCCAAGAAATACAATACGTAGTTGCCTCATTTTATTTCAATCAAGAGGAACCTTACAATAATGTTTTGGATTTTTAAAATTTTCATTTATATCTCATTTGAAATAAATTTTCTAATGTCATTCAAAGTTACATGTTAATTTACATCCTACGTAGATTACCTTTTACGGATAAGAAATACAAGTGGTTAAGCGATGTTAACGTATCATAGACAGGAAACAGTAAGAGACAATCTATCAAGTAAGAATTGAAGGATCTGATTGGTTATAAATAATTACTAAACATTTAGATAGATCTGCTATTAGGCAATTAAACGTTTTATCTATAATGCAACGTTTAGAGCTAAGAATATACATATTATCAATATCTTGTTCTTCTAGCTCATGTATACAAATATGAATGAATTTTACTCTATTTTGAAGATTCTACCAAATAAAATGTGAAATTAAAAAAACTCTTAATATAGGTCATAGAAAATGTAAAGTGACGTATTAAGATTCGGTAAAAAACAAATTTCTTCCACTGAAAAAAAATTATGATTAAGAAAATATTCTTTTTATGCATAATATTTTTAGATCATTTCCTTAGGGTGACAAGTTCATTTTATCCTATATTTTTAAAAAGATCCAAAAATTGAAAATAAACATATAATATCCCATTTGTTTCACCCTGTTAAAAACATTATGACCCAATATTCATGCGTTTCAGACTGTAAGAGTAGTCATTATTTAGTTACTCGTTTTTTTCTGACAAATACAGTTATGCCCGTCTGAGACATATACCGGTAAAACTAATCATACAATTTGTCCTATTGCATGTTTCAAGGCAAATATTTTTACATGCCTGCTTCGTATTCAGTAAACATGTAATGTAAAACTTCATTATATGGCCCAAAATCACTGATGAAACACCTCTTATTTATTTCATTCAAATATATTTTATTGTTTCACACAAAAGGATCAAAATGAGTTCTAACAAATTACCAGTTCTCCCGGTGTTAGTAAAGTTAATACAGTTAGTACATTTGTCATAATAATAACATAGGAAATAATATTGGCAAGTGACATGAATAAATTGAAATGTTCTTCATATATTTGGTGCCTTCCTCATCGCTGCTCTGTAGTATGAAAGTCCTATTTCTTCTCAATAAAAAGGTATGACCAAGGTTATTTTTTTTTAAACAGAATGACAGACTTACAGACTGACAGCTAGACGGATGAGATTTAATGTCTCCTTGCTTTTGCTAAAGCGGGGGACAAGATTTGGACAGTAATATTTTTCACTAACACATTCTCATGGTTTAAATTCGTTACTTAACAGCTTGATCAGAGTAAACGACCAATTTTCAAAGCGAGGCAAAAAAAAGAGAAGAAAGTTTCTTCGGATAAAGGAAATCAAATGAGTTTGAGATCAGGGAGCGAGACAAACTAACTAAACAACTGTACCGCTTTTGCTATTTATGTCAATGACCAGCAAAACACAACTAGACAGACTTTTTTAAATTAAGCAACTGTACTGCTTTTGCTATGTATGTCAATGACCAACAAAAACACACATCAGACAGTGTTAATCTATTCCTATTTCCCTCCACTGCTGTTCGGCCTCAAAGTCATTGTACACCCGCAAAGAGGACGGGAAACCGTACTCACATGAGACATATTTTTCCTTATTTGTTTTCAATTTCAATAGATATATTGATATATATTTTCTTTTATTATTTATAAAACAAAAGCTGATTAAAATGCTTTGTTTATCGGTGTAATTTCATTAATGTTATCATAGTTTATTCAAAATATGGGAAGTAAGTGACAAACTGCATTGGTAAGCGTGATATACATGTATACAATGTTGCACTATGCAAGGTTAATAAACTATATTATATTAGGTGTTCTCAAAAAATACTTTTAAATATATCTGTATTTTTACACGTAAATACGACAACGGTAACTTTTCAGTATGGTTACTTAAACCTAGTTACTTGAAAAACCTCTGATATTATATAAAAAAAAAAAAATTAATTAAGCAGTAGTTAATTCACAAAGATTGCATTGAAGTCTATGGGGAGAAGCATTTTGCCAAAATAGAAATTCAAATAATTTGAATATCAATAAATCGTGCGGTGGAAAGATGCATTGAAACATTAAAAATAGAATGACAATTGAAAACAATTTTTTTACCGGTTAAAATTTTTTTAATTGACTTTTTTTATTAATTAAAAAAATGGGAGATAACTCTTACCAAATTTCAAGGTCATAAATTAGGACACATCCCGATATACATACTAATAGTAATAAATAGGAAGTATGTCTAAATAAACTGAGAATTCAACGCCTATATATCTAATATGTATTCAATTTCATTGAATTTGTTCCTATTATTTAGGGATTGAATACCTTAAAAAAAAAAAAAACATTTTCGGTATATACTCCAGTATACACTCAATGTATTACAAGCACTGTGGAATGAAATTATACGTTAATTGGAGAAGGCAAAGTTAGTACGATTACTACTACTACTACTACTAGAAGGGGGTACGCATCGATGTCAATGGATCATACGCACGGCGAGCACTCTGTTATGATCAGGTAAACGGAATTATAATGCGTCAAAATCGTATAAAAACAAAGGCATAAAATAGGTCGGAAATGTGGCATTCTACGAGGGGTGATAAAAAAGTTCGCGAACTAATTATATAACTTCCAAAACAGAAGAGATATAGGGTTTCAATGTTGAATTTTTTTCAAAGTAGTCCTCTCTGATTTTAATGCGATCTTATAACCATTTGTAAGTTTTATTTGCAAATAAGTTATTTTTTACAACAAAAACAATCCACTTGTTATGCAATGAGTGGTTAATGATATCCTTTTCAATTTTTCAAAACCCAAGTCCTTTGTCTTTTGACTGTTATCGAAATAAAGGTGTCTTCACTTTATCATATCTGATATGTTTAAACATCAATTTTAGGGATTTGATAATTATATAATTGTAAAGATATTTATTTATTTTTCTAACTGTAAGTTGGCGGTCTTTCATATCAAATTGCTTAATAAAGGAAATGTCTGTTTTATTTTTGATATAATTCCAATTAATGACGAGATTTCTGGCAAGTCTTTTGTCTTCATTAACAGTGTACAAATTATTATAAACTTATGCAAAGGAATTTCCAAGATATACGTTTAACTTTACAGCCGTTCTTTTCTCGAATACGACTGATTCAACCATTTTTTGTCACAAGTGATCTACCTTATGACGTCATTTTCACATTGTGTTCACAAACACGGGGCAAAAACAAAACATTTCACTCTTTGTGTACCAAATTTAAATGTTGTGGTTTTGTAAATATAGAAGTGGAACTTTTTGATCACCCCTCGTAGATGCGATCTAACAATATATATTCAATTTTTCGAAATGCTGACTGTTATCGAAATAGATGTAACATCAATTTCTTTGGTAATAGTGTTACTGTTTTAATTTGATATAACAGTACTTGTATCGAATTACCATGTGCAAGTTATTGTTGAATAAAACTCCATAAATGTTGAGAAGTGGCGGTGAAAAAATATATATGAAGTCGTTCCCAGATACATTGTGTAAAGTGTTGTTGTTATACAGTACATGTTCATTTCATTGTACATTAGCATAGATATTCAGTAAAAAATCCAAGTATGATGTGGGCACGCACGTGGTAGACCCTGTATTTACTTTCAATTTTAAATCACTGTGATTTATTGAGTTTAAATATCAATAAACATTTTGTCAATCGATAAATCGGCAACATATAAAAAATGGAATTGAAAGCCTTAGCAAGAAATTTCATTAGAGTTTTTATATAAATTCTACTTCATAGGAATATAAAAACAAGTCAAAGGCATGAAACAGTGAAATGGTATTAAATAATGTTTTATAAAAATGATAATTCCAACATTTCAACGTTACAAACCGTGTTACCTTTATGTTCGTTATATGACCCTGGTCTGCCTTCATGTCAAATTTCATAGTATCGGAATACAATGTGGAGCAACAATTTCCCATTTCAAAATTTAGCACTTATAACGAAACAGACTAAACCATAACAAACTGAATACATTGTGAAACCTATGTCCAAAGAAAAATAAATGATACACTAGTAAATTTTTAACAAAAATACCAGAACATCGTAAATATGTTGATGCATTTCTTTTAGTGAATTAGAATTTTTTATAAAATAGGAAAATGCACGGTAATTCAATGTTTGTTCAATGAATAACAAACGTGTTAAAACAAAACAATTAAACATTTTATCAAGAATGATCATTGGTACGAGAATTCCATAAAGGAATTTTGTGACCCAGCTCAATGAGCTTTGTACTTACAGTACGCCAGCAAGGGTGATTATAAGGATGTTTGTTAAACAACAACTGAACAATTTCAGTTAATTGTTGGTAAACAAATTTAACTCCCAAAAGTTTTTAAAAACTTCGATTTGTACTTCTAAAAAAAGTTTTCCCCTTGTTTTTCTTTTATTAGAGTTTGTATAACTTATCAGGTTTACATGTGCATATGAGATTTTGCCTTGTAAGCTTTATATATACTTATAAAAGCTTATTATAATATTATTGATATTAAAGAAAGAGAAATTAATTTTAAATGACAATAATAATTAATAGAAATAAAGCTTAAAGCTTAAAAAATATATCTAACTAAATAAATGAAGCATTAGCAAATTAGGGATCGGAAACTCATTAAAACTCTTTAAAATATAATGTCACAGAAGCTGGTTTGGTAAAGTGCTCGCTCCGTGTTCGGAAGGTCGTGAGCTCTTTTGATCTCAGTCCCACTTTTTCATTATTAATTACTTTGGACTGATCTTGGTCGAAAAAAAATTATTTTTTTTTCTTTTGTCAAGCGCTCGGCACTTTGAAATGAAAGTTGTCGACCTATGGGTAAGACCGAGGCAATATCTAGGTAAATATCAAGACAGGAATGCTCACATAAAACATAGCATGGCCACTTTTTGGGTTTTTGTTTTGCTAGAACGTTAACTGTGTTTGAACGACTAAAGAAAAATTTAAATTTAAATTATTGTTCATAAAACATCGTTCTTTTAAAGTAACGGTGAAAGGAAAATATAAAAAAAAAGAGTCTTTCTTCATTATTTATTACAAGCGATAGAATCATCTGAAATTAACGATTTCGCTTAATTTTATAGAAGACTCTAACGATGTCCATTGAGACAGTATACAAGTAAAGTACTCAGAAAAAAATAAAAGAATTTTTCCTTATGGCTACAAAAAATTTAAAGTAATTACTTATCTTTTATAATATTGTTCTATTCATCGTCTTTTTAACAACAGTATATAAGAGTATATATGACATCATATGTTTTGCATCGTCATCACTCGTAAAGGTTTAACTTGTGGCGCCCTAAACCTTCTGTTGTTGTATTCTTTGTATTTCTTTCGCTCCTCTTCATCATCGTCATCATCATCACGTTTCGCCAAGGCAGCCCAAATCTTTTTGCAACAGACACTCAGTAAGCCTATTGTTACCACAGCCACGCCTCCCAAAACTGCATAAAGGCTAAACCGGTACCAAGAAGGTGCATTCGATGTGAATACTTGCAAAAAATATGTAGATATTTAGCATGAGCTTATCTTCATCACACTTTACGTTTGCCTGACTCTAAAGACAAAAAAATCTGTGCAGTTCAAATTTAAGAGAACGTTTTTAAAAGCTATCATAATTATTATGTAAATATTGCTTAGTCAATTGTTAATCTTTGATTCAATTTGTAACATATTAAAATTTAATAACATTGACTTACTACTCGGTGACATCCCTCCTTCTGGTACCTTGTCCATTGTTGATCTTTTAGTTGTAATTTGTGTGGTTTCCATAGGTGTTTGTGCTGTTGTTGTTGTTGTTCTCGCTTCTGTTGTTTGCTTGTCTAATATTGATCTTATAGTTGTAATGTGTGTGGTTTCCGTCTTGGGAGAGCTTAAAGTAGTCTTTGGTTGGGTTGAGTGGATAGTTGTTCGTGCTGTCGTTGTTGTTTCAGTTCTGCTGATTGCTTGTTTTTGATCTTTTAGTTGTAATTTGTGTGGTTTCCATATTGGAAGAGTTCTGTAGAGTTGTGTGGATAGTTGTTCGGGCTTTTGTTGTTATTGTCGTCAGTTCTGTAGATTGTCTGGTAGCTTGTAGCTTGATACTTGAGACAGTTGTTGTTGGTCTCGTTGACTCCTCAGTATTTACACTTGTTGTTGGAGGATTTGTGAAGTTCAAACCTGGAGTTGTCGTTATGGATGTTCCCAAATCTGTGGTTCTAACTATTGTACCTATTTAAAAGATTTTTCTGCCTTTTCAGTCCAGGTGCCTCGATATTTGCTTTTGACAATTCAGATAGAATAATAATTTTGCTAAAAAAACATTGAAAAGGAAAATAAAAGTATTTATTTTCTATACTTATTGCTGTAAGACAGTCCTCATCCATTTTCCCGTCATTGTCATTGTCTGAAAAGATATAATGTCATTAAAGCTGACATGAATTCTTAAAAGCGCAACATTTTCATCTATGTACAACTTGTTTCATACCAACTATAGCCGTATTCCGCCATATTTCTTTCAGATATCTTGTCTTTATACCCAAATGCACTCGTTACACTTGTATGATTTTTGGCTTGGCTATCGACTTGTGCACATCTCCGATGGTAAAACCTTTGAGAACACATGAGTTGATCACGACATTTCAAAACAACAAACAACGTAATAATCGCTGTTCTTAATAATTGTATTGATTTGAATCAAATGTAATAAAGAAAAAGAAAGAAAATGTAAATTTGGAAGAAAAATTTGGTTGCTCGAGTACGCATTTTTACACTGCGCCAATTTATGCAGAATAAACTTGAAATAAAAAAGCAGTAAAATCGTAACAAACTTGAAATTTTCATTTGAGTGGAACAAAAAAAAAAACCTGCTGTTCACAAGGTATAACTGAAAGTTCTAATAAACATTCGATATATAGGTTGCAGCTGTTTTGCATTACAAAATTTATTTGTCAATTATATTTGATTATTGTCCCCCGCTTTCGCGAAAGCGTGGGGACATTAAAGGCCGGTATACACGGTAATATTTTGTATTATGAAATTTGTATTATAATACAAAATCTTACTGTGTATACACTCTTAATACATTGTATCATAAGATTTTTCGAATCTTATAAAACTGTATTAAGAATAGAGCAATGCTCTATTTCCTAATATAAGTCTTATCTAACCTCTCTTTCAACCAATGAAATGTAATGACACTGGAGGTCATCCAATTTTTATCATTACTAAAAAAAGCATGTGGTTATAATGGTCGACTTTACAAGTGAAGACATAGAAAAACTCGTGGCTTAATGGGAAGGGGAAAAAAGGACTTGTGGAGTATATCAAGCAGGCATAGTACGATGATAGACACTGCTATCAGAGCCTCATCCTCCATTTTTATTACTTTGACAGAGAGAGAAAGAAGCTAATTCAGAGAATTTGTGTCCCCCGCTTAGGGAAAAAAGTAAACCATGCACAGTTCGGGGGGGGGGGGGGGGGGGGGGTTTGATCGCCTTGACTGAATTTGTAGAATTCTTAGATTATACATATATATACTGAAGCAAATAAAATATGCCAAAATGGATAAAAAGATTTGATTGCTTATTCTTTATTACGTGTATGTGTATAGAAGATTATTTTTATATGGAATATTAAATTTATCACGCTGTAATGATGATTTTATGAGTTTGTACAACAACCCAGGCGGCGGGCGCCCTATAGTGATCAGTCCTGTCCGTCCGGCTGTCCGTCCGTCAGTCCAATCTGGCTCATACTTCACCCACAGAGTGCCCTTGGGTAACCAGTATGCAGTGAGATCTCTTGTCCGTGAAAAGCATATCTTCTCTCCCTTTGGCCCAATCTGGCTCATACTTCACCCACAGAGTGCCCTTGGGTTACCAATATGCAGTGACCTTAAACCATGTTTCTAGGTCAAAGGTCAAGGTCATAGCAGACTTTATGAAAAATCCTTATTTGGAGCATATCTTCTCTCTCCTTGGCCCAATCTGGCTCATATTTCACTCGCAGAGTGCCACTGGTCAATGGATGTGCAGTGACTTTAATATTGGTCGAAGTTTCTAGGTCATGGTCAGAATTAGCCTCTATGTTTAAAATCTTTGTTTGGTGCATCATTTTTCCCCTTAATTCCAGTAAATTTATATAACTGAGGATACAAGATAACTTTGATATATATATATATATATATATATATATATATATATATATATATATATATATATATATATATATATATATATATATATATATATGGTAACAATCCTGTGTTAAAAACTAATGTCCAAATAACTGTATCTCACTTCTATTCTCAATGACCGTGTAGTGTAGGGCAGCGCCGCAAGAATTCCATCGGCATCGAAAGCAAGTTTTTTTGACCTGCCTAGATAGCCGAGCGGTCTAGCGCGCTGTTCCTGCACTGCTAGGAGACAGATTCCGAAGGTCGAGAGTTCAACCCCGGGTTTGGGCGGAAGTGGGTATCCATGTAAAAGTGAATTTCTTTGCTTTCTATATTAATATCTCTTCTATATATATATATATATATATATATATATATATATATATATGTCCAAATAACTGTACTATTTATATATATATATATATATATATATATATATATATATATATATATATATATATATATATATATATATATATATATATATATATATATTAAAATTATCTGATAAGTCATATTAAATTACCTTCACTTTTGTACACAAATGTTCCTCTTCAAAATAAACCTTTTAAACTTAAAGCAATATGAGCTGTATCTTTAAGAATTTTATTTTTATGGTAAAAGTGCTATTATGATCAATTTGTATGTAATTTAAACTTTTATGATCAATAAGCCCAATATAAAGTTTAAAAATGTTTCAGAAGAAATATTTCTGTACAACCAAATATACAGTTTTATATAACAAATCATTATTGTACAGGATGACAATAATTCAATTTTCCTTCAATCAAAGCTAATAAAAAAATCCATTGCAAATATGAGCAACAGAAGTTTATAAATAATTTATCTTTCTGTCATTAAATTAGTTGATTACAAATTTTCAATAAAATTTTCCGATGTCAAACATGCAGCTCATATTGCTTTAACCTTACATTTTCATGTTCATTGTTGAAAGCGGGGCCCTTTGAGATGGTCACCATCTGAATGATATCTAGTTTTTTTTTCTTTTTCACATGCTGAATACTATTATTTAGTTAAGAAAAGTTTTTTGAAAAAAAGATACATGGATCATCCGGGGTTTGAATCCGGGTCCTCTCACATTTGAAGCGAGAGACATACCACTAGACCACGAAGACGGTTCAAACTGGTGAAGATTAAATGCAAACATGAAGTCACATACATATATATATTCACGTTTGATATTGTCAAAATTTTACAGAATGCATGGTGTCTAATTAAAAGACCTTTATTAAACAGTTCTAATAGATGTAATAAGAATATAAAGTTTACCGAAACCTGTTTTATACGTAATAACTCTCCTCATGCCCCTGTGCTAAAAATAGTAACATGTAATACAATAAATACTAATAAAACAAACGGAGCGGGACACTTTGAGAGGGGTGAGGGAGGTCCTAGGGAGTTTTGGTATAAAATTAAATTGCAAAAATTCAAAATCTTCTTGAAATATCGCCTGGAAATGATAGTGTTTCATAGAGAGAGAATGTATAAATTTACGACCTTGAACTTTGACCTTTTGACCTCAAAATCAATAGGGGTCTTCCTTAGGCCACAGGGAATTGTTAGGTAAAATTTCATTGCAAAAGCCCAAAGGGATCTTGAGATATCGTGCGGAAACGAAAGTGTTATAAAAGACAGAATTGCGAATTTATGACCTTGATCTTTGACCTTTTGACATCAAAATCAATAGGTTTCTTCTTTAGTCCATAGGGAGTTGCTATGCAAAATGTCATTGCGAAAGCTCAAAGGGTTCTCGAGATATCGTGTTGAAACGAAAGCGTTACAGACAGACAGAAAGACGGACGGACGGACGGACGGACAGACCCAAATTAATATCCTCCACTTTTCAAGCGGGGGACAATATAGCGGGGAAAACACGTTGGAATATTATAATACAAAAGTATTATAATACTTGTATTATACTACAAATCTCGTCGTGTATACCGGCCTTAAATCCCATTCGTCTGTCCGTCAGTCTGTCAGTCTAAATGTCTGTCAGTCTGTCTAGCTGTCCGTCCGTCACAAAAACTTTAACCTTGCTCATAACTTTTGATTTAGTGGAGCTAAGACTTTCATATTTCACATGTGTGTTCCTTGTGACAAGACCTTTCTTTGGGAAACACCAAATTTGACCTTTTGACCTTGACGTTTGACCCACTTTTACACAAAAATTCATAACATTTACTTTGGACATATCTTTTGAATGGTAGAAACTAAGACTTTTATATTTCTCAAATGTATTCTATGTTGCAAGACCTTTCATTGGATACCAACAATTTTGACCTTTTGACCTTGACCTTGGAGATTTCCGTACTTTTGCACGGTAATGGCTAGGGCTTTCATATTTCAAATATGTTTTCTTTGTGGCAAGGTCTTCAATTGGATTCCAAGAACGTTGACCCTTTGACCTTGACCTTGGAGTTTGACTTTCTTTTCAAAAACCTTGACGTTGGTCACAGCTTTTGAACGGTAGATACTAGGACTTTCATATTTCACATATGTATTTTTTTGTGGCAAGATCTTTCATTGGATACCAACAACTTTGACCTTGACCTTGTAGATG